CGAGTCAGTTTAGCTCTAAATTTGTCACACATAGGCTCCTAACTTTTAATATGAGACATATTCAGACCAACTGGGACATCAAGATATTTTTTAAAAAAAATCAAGAAAACTAATATTGACCTACATGTCCAAAATAGTATGCCATGTATGCTGTGTGGCAAAATTGATGTGGCGACGAGGTCATGTGGATGCCAAAAAACTAATGTGGCAAAGTGACAAACATAACACTACTCCCTCGGGCCTTAGAGGATGAGAGGGTCACCACTAACATAACAAAAGACCTTCCTTGAATTTATGTCTAAGGGCATTAACGAGATGAAGTTATGGTGAGGGACCAATCCCGTAACAATTTCAAACCAAATGACTAACGGCATGGTATTACTATTTCCTAGGGGTGTTCATAACCGGATATCCGAAATTTCGGATACGGATTTCGGATATCCGAATTTCGAATATCCGAATTTCGGATAGTTGATTTTTGGTATCCGATTCCGTATCCGAAATTTCGGATATCCGAAATTTCGGATACGAATTCGGATACCAAAACGGATATCTGAAAATTTGTAATTTTGTTCAAATTTGAAAGTTTTTATATTAGAAAAACATATTTTTATATTAGAAAGACATATGAAGTAATATATGTATTTAATTAAGGGTATTATGAATATGTTTTAGTTACTAACATTCATATTATATGACATATGTGATTAAAATAACATATAATGTATAAACTAAAATCAAAACTTTCGGATATCGGATATCGAATTATCCGAAAAATCTGAAAAACACTATCCAATTCTGATTCTGAAAAACCGGATATCCGAAAATTCGGATATCTAATTTTTCGGATAATTCGGATTCGGAACTCCGGATCGGAATTTTGGATACATATATTTTTGAACACCCCTACTATTTCCTATAGTTGTCCTACAAATAAGATTTTTATAAACAACTAAAAATGTAATTTTGTCTATAAAATACTATAGATTATGAGATAAACGCCTTTTCAAAAAATTTGGGGACATAATTACATAATAATTATATATAAAAAGTCAACTTAAGATATAGGAGTCAATAAACTCATGCAAAATTTATCTTTCCCCCTTTCTCGTATTATGCACCCCTAAGGTAGTGTTTGTTTTTTGTCTGCAGATCTGCGTGGCCTCTTCTGTCTGCGCCGCGCAGACCACGCG